CGTGTGGCGCGGGCCGTTTCTGGGGACTGTTAGTGGCTCTGCCTTCCACAGCACGAAGCAAAGTGTGGCCACCGCCTGGGCTGCAGATCCCTTGTTGACTTCACCGTGAAACCAGATGTCAGCGGCACGTTGCGTGTGGGCTCCCGTAAGGCCATCCTGGGAAGCGAATATAGGGTGTGGCACTGAGGGGTGTTTCTTAGCGACCTTGGGATAACACAGGAATGTTCCAGAATGTGGCCAAGAACGTTCCGGAGTATGCGGTCGTCCAGTCGCCCAGTGAGGGTCGTTGCTAATGAGTTGCGTCCCCAGTTGTCCAGCAAGGTCCACTTGTCGGTGCGGTTTCCACGGCCCGGTGCTCTGCGTTTCTGCCCCGACTTTTTCTCCGCCGGCGTTACCCCCGTTTCGAGTGGTGACAGGACCGTGACCGCCCACGCCCTGCGCGGTGTTCCAGAGGGACTCAGGCTCAGAGGCAGTGCCGTGGGCTGGGCATATCGCCGTGGCCAGCGGCAAGAGGGCACTCCGCAGCGGGGAGTGGGGAGCAGGACTTTGGCTGGGGGGGTGTCGCACAGGCACACGCAGCCCACCCGAGTCCCGGGCTCAGCGGCAGTCATGTTTCTGCGGACGGCCCAGGCAGAGCGCCATGTTCCAGCCTTGTCACCTGGGAGCGCCCCAAAGCCGGGCACCCAGATGCTAGCCAAGGGCCAGCCCTGCCCCCAGGCTCTCCCAAGGGACCTTCGAGGGTGGCGGCCCAGGCGTGCCGGGGGAGGGTCGGGTCTGTGCACCAGCTCCTGGTGGAGAGCTCTATCTCACCATCCTGCGGGAAATCCCGCACCCCGATGGGGCTGATGTTTCCTCGTGGGGTGCACTTGTCACTCTCCCCCTCTCTGGCGCAAGCCTGCAGTTGAGAGTGGAGGCTTCGGGTGGAGTTCGGGGTCCACGTCACAGGTGTGTGGCAGCTGAACGGTATCAGGAGGACCGGTGTCCAGATGTCCCCCTGCAGGAGTGCTGAGATGACTCGGCGAGGTCAGGCGGTGGCAGCCCAGCCCGTTTACTGCCACGCTCCCCGTTACCTCGGCTCCTAAAGCTCTTTCTTTCTGCTGCCAACGGTAGCTGGGTTATTAACGTTAGGGGCACGCGCGATCCCACGCGGCGGTTTCCCTGAACTTGCTCAGCGTGGAGTTCTGCGGGCGCGACCTGCGTTCAGCACCGCGGACAGACACCCGCTGTCCACGCCGCGGCCTTGGTGCAGGGCCGAGCCCCAGCCGGGACCCCTGAGCGCGTGGTGTCCTGGGCCGGCTCAGTGCCGCCGTTCGTGTGCGCAGGGAACTGTTCCGTCGCCGTGTCCGTGTGGGAGAATTTCTCCCGCCCAGTCGCGGAACACCAGACACTCGACATAAACCGCTTTTCTCCACCACCGAGTTCCGTGGTGATGAATTGTTGCCTTAGCAGCTTCCGGTGGGTTTCCCGCGTCCATTTCCTGTCTCTCTCCTGCTTCTCCGAATGCCGTTTTGAATGTGTGGGTTTAATAAATTCAGTGTGCCTTAATCAGTTATAGTCGCTATTAAGAACTACAGCCCAGTGTCAGTTTATCTTTGAAAAAATTATTTCTCTACTATTCTAGGTTCGTTCAGCTTTTTTGCATAATTTTACAACCTTTGAAAATCACATAATTTATAAATATTTACTCGTCTTTCACTAATTAATGACCATTATTAGTAGCCGTTTAGGAAAAAAATCCTTTCTCTCCCTCCCAACCACTATCCCGAGGTTATAAAAGTCCCGTTAAAGTCTGCAGCCGCGCCGCCCTGCGCACGCCCGGTCCCGTGTGATCTCAGACGCTCAGCAGGGTCGGGCCTGGTTAGTACTTGGGTGGGAGACCACCTAGAAAGACCAGGTGCTGTAGGCGTAAAAAAAAAAAAAAAGCCCTGTGAAGAAGCCAGTCTTGTACCCTGGTGGGGACACGGAGCAGACAGGCGAGGGGAAGCCAGGTGCATCTCCAGGACCAGGCATCGTCCCTTGTAGCTCCCTGTTATGTGTACCAGACACGTCATTGATTGAAAACGCTGGTTTTGAAATAACAGATTCATGGGGGGTCGATTCACAGCCTGGATGTGCCGCACCCTCCCCTGCCCCCTCTCCAGCCCCCTCGTCCCCTCAGCCTGGACGTGCCGCACAGTGGGGGTCCGGCAGCAGCACAGAGGATGGGACATGGGTGCAGTCTGTGAGGCTGCCTCGAGTCCCAGGGGTTACACATGCAGTCCTTTGGGTGTGCGTGGGGTGGCCGTGTGCAACTTGGTATGTGTCGCCCGTGTGACCAGCGCCACAGTAAAGGTTCTCAACCGCACCGCCACCACGGGCTCCCCGTGACTGCCCCGCCCTTCCCCCACCGTCCCAGGTCCTGGCCGCTGACCTGTGCTCCTGCCCCGTGACCATGCCACCTGACCAGTGCTTCGCGGTGACACGACAGCGCTCTGCTGACCCGAGCTGGGGAAGGACTTGTGTGGAGAGAAGGGGGCAGCAGAGCGCGGCAGTGGCTGAGGTGACGGACGCCTTGGGAAAGCCGCGTCGCGGTTTGTGACCGGCGCCCTCAGTCCTCAGGGTTCCGCGCGTCTGGTTAGGTGGGGTTTGCTCGAGGAGCAGCGTCAGAGCCTCAGGGCCCCCTCCTTTCATCGACTGAACAGGACGGATGTCACCGTTCGTGTGCGCAGGGAACTGTTCCATCGCCGCGTCAGAGCCTCAGAGCCCCCTCCTTTCATCGACTGAACAGGACGGATGTTTCCACTTCCCTCGGGTGTGTTTGCTGGGTCACGTGGTAGCTGGATGGTAACTGTTTAAGAAGCTGCACACTTTCCCACAGTCGCTCCGCCGCTCCGCATTCCCGCGGGCGCTGTTCGAGGGTGTCGGCTGCTCCTTGCTCTCAGCTTTCTTCATGTCCTGTCTTAAAAATTACACGTGCACCCGAAATTACAATTAAATAGGAAAGATGCTCTTGCGGCTCCGCAGTGACACGGAAGTCTGAGTTAGAGGGACTGTGGGCTGCGCGCCGTCGGCAGAAGCAGCCTCAGTGACGGGGCCCGGCCACCTGGGGATCGTGTGGCAAACGACGAGCCTGCCGCAGGCTTCCTTGTGGAACGTACTCTGTTCGGCCTCCGCTTCTGCACGAGGGTCACCTAACTCTTCAGGAAGCGAAGGCGGCTTTCTTCGGAGGTCACGCTGCTGCCGCGTGTGTCCCTGGGCCGTCCAGATTCTGAAGCAGCGGCACCCACGATTCCCTGTCGTCACCGACGTGGCGCAGCAGGGCCGGTGCCGACAGACGCTTGCCCGACGCGGGCTCTGCGTTCTCCCGCTGCGGGCTGGACAGCAGCTCCCTGCGTTTCTTTCCAGATCGTTCACAGGACGCTGGCAGCCATGTTGGGGGCCCTGGCGGCGCTGGCGGTGCTGGCCGTGATGGGTGATGTAAGTGGCACCGTTTTGCATCCAGGGCTTATGTTCGGATGGGATGCCAGCCGCAGACGGGCCGGGAACCGGCCGAGAGCCAGTGTTTCCGCGCCTTTGTGTCGTGTCCCACGTGTCCCTCCAGAAGCCGTGGTACAGGGACGAACTGACGGACTTCGTGGCACTGATGAGTACTTTTCATGTGATGTTAACACACACGCACACGCACACACACGCACACACACACCCAGCACCGTCATGTGATGTTAACACACACGCACACGCACACACACGCACACACACACCCAGCACCGTCATGTGATGTTAACACACACGCACACGCACACACACGCACACACACACCCAGCACCGTCATGTGATGTTAACACACACGCACACGCACACACGTGCGCACACACACCCAGCACTGCCGTTCTCCATTTTAGCTGAGGAAAGGCTCGTCATGGTCACGTGTGTGCCCAGGGCCGTGTAGCTCAGTGGTGTGGGATCGGACCCTGGGTGCTCTCAGCCCTTGGGGACGAGAGGGGGCCATCTGCTCTCAGGGTGGGACGAGAGGGGGCCATCTGGCTGGAGCGGAGGCGAGAGACGACGGGTGGGAGCCCTGGGTCCCCAGTGGGCTTCAGCGGGGATGGGATCTGCCTTCCGACTCCGGCCCGAGGACCGGGTTTGCCGTGAAGGGCGGCACGTTTGTCCCGCCCGGCACCAAGAGGACGTGGCGAGAGTAACGGGCAGGTTTGTGCTTTGACCGCAGAGACCCAGCCTGGCCCGCGTGGTGGAGTGGATCGATTTCGAGACGCTGGCGCTGCTGTTCGGCATGGTAATTACAGACCCCGGCGGACGTGGCTCCTGGGCTGCTGTCGCCCAGGCTCTTGTCCTTTGCTGCCACTGCTGCTCATCGTTCATGACGCTGACAGTGCCGAGCCGCCTGGCAGCGCGTGACTGGTCCGCATTGGTGCGGGC